ACACTGTGGCGTCTGCCTGTCTGCCTGCACACTGTGGCGTCTGCCTGTCTGCCTGCACACTGTGGTGTCTGCCTGCACACATGCACGTTGTCCACTGTGTGCATTAAAGAATTTTCCTAAAAGGAAACAGCAGGGTTTAGGCATTAATACTGCATACGGTACAGACTGGTTATTTTAAAGGACGTCTGGTCTACATGCTCATTTCAGTTGCCACACACCTGCGTTTGCTACAAAGCAAAAAGCACCAAGCGGTGGATGGGAAGAGTGGATACATTAACCCTAACTCCTGAGTAGCCATGGTAACGTTAGACAATTTCTCATATATACCCTGTTTTAATTCCCTCAATACCAGGATAAGTCAGGGACTGCTAGAGATCCTTGATCCATTCATGCATCTAGTATATTTTGATTCAGCATAGTAAGGACCAAAAACTCAAACTAAAGAAAACACACTGTTTTGAGGTAGGACTGCATGTGCCTATTCTGACCTTTTTAGGAAAACTGCGCAATCGCATGTTACAATGTAGAAAAGACAGCCTGCAATATCACTGGAAGAAAAGCTACCTGAAAAGAACTGACAATAACAGGTAGGAAATAAAGATTTTGTTACTGTAGAATTAGCAAAGCCCTCGAGCCCACAGCTACTCAGCAGTGAGCATTTTGTTTCTCGTGCTCCATGCACAGCAATTAGTTTTCATAGTTTCAGCCCAAGCTACACCTATTAAGCTCAACGGAAGACATACTTATCTGTCCGCCTATAAAAAGGAAGAGAGGTTTTCATGAGACCACAGACCACACTTACAAACCTTTATCTCATGTTACTCATCACAGCAAATTCGTTGAATTTTACCCCCCAGCCAGTCGATGAGAGACCAGTTCTGAAACTTCTCACAGATCTGGTCAGCATGTGCATTCAGGGTGCCTTCAGAGGATCACCCGGTTGCAGATGCAGTTACCACCTCAGTGGGGGTCCACAGGAGTTATATTCCAGAAGGATCCCCAAAGTCCTGTCGACTGGGCAGCCCGGAGAAGCGCAGGCCCATGTCCCCCAATCCCCCGTGTCGCCCATGTCCCGTCGCTGCACCCCACTCACCTGGAACATTTTCTGCTTCTCAGGCACCTTGTTCACCTGCCTCCGGGCACTGCTGCTGATTGCCCGGCGAGAGATTTGCCGGATTGCCTGTGTGGAGAATGAGGCCGGAAGACAAATCATCAGTGATCAGTTTCTCCTACAAACACATCCTAGGCCTGTAACAGCTAATCACACTGTTTTCAGGTTTCTCTGCTCGAAAATACAACGGTGATAACACTGACTGACAATATCCTAACAACCCATTATAATCGCTTCTAACTCACAATCTATTACTTTGTGAGAAAATGCCATAATGCCGATACTACACCAGAAAAACTGTGACAAGACTATAGACGGCAACGTAATAGAAGTACGTTTAAAATTTTTAAGTTCTTCAAGAATAATTTGCACTTTCATTTTCCCAGCACAAGTTCGTCTATTGAATATTCGTGGGTGCAATATAGGAAGTCCGTCTCTAAGCAAATTTAACTGTCTATACACTCACAGCATTTAGAGTTAACGTTTGTAAAGGGTGGTCTCTTTTCAAGACATTTAAGTCAAAAGATAGGTCGTAGCTAGCGTAGCTAATGCCCTTCGTAATCAGAAGGCAACACTAAGACAGTCGCGCTAAAATATAATTCCCCAATTTGCCCCACTGCGTTTTATCAATGTAAGGAATTCAATTTTACCTCACTTTTCAGCTTTTAAGTACCTTACAACCGAGTCAAATATTACGAAATCAGACCGCAAATGATCGGCCTGGTACTGACAGTGACCGCCATGGCAGTTAACTCGCCGACATAGTCATATTAGGTATCATATATGACTCGTAAGTCCATTTAATCTAAATTTTAATGGCTTACGAATGAATATTCAGCAGTATTTAAGTAAAAAAAATGTTAATTACCTGAATATGTCTAAACATCCTGACCGGGGTAGCGCTTCGTAGGTGAAACACAAGGGCACTGCAACTTTCAAGTCAGAGATGTCGGCGCGTTTCTTCTTCTGTGTTATTTGAAATCGTGCGTGCAGAGGACCTCTGCCACCTGCTGTCTGGGAGGGGAACTGCAAGCCCTTTCGAGTTTAGAGGTTATCTATTTCTTTATAGTTAGACACTAATAAGAAATCATTCATGCGCTATAAGTATTGAACCACAGGGAACAATGCACACCATGTAACTTTCATAGGCTTATTGTGTTTTTATACATATTTATTAATGACTGCACTGCGTCCATTCCCCGTCAGTGAGTTTACGCGAGAAGCTAGCTGTTGTAGGCGAAGTGCACAAACATTGAAATGTTAATTAAAATTCGCCCATAAAACCCTCCCGGGTTTTCTGGCTTGATGATGTATGTGGATATATATGCGAATCTATACTGAAATATTAAACCTTAACTCCAATACCGTGGTAAAGTTATAGCTTTATATGCAGTTTTCCGACTGTAATATCTTTCGGTATTTGTTATATATTTAGTATAATGCTTAAAGCACACTTTACGGGACATGTCTGTATTATTTTAGGTTTATCCATGCTGTCAGGTTGCAGCAAGTAGGCAAGTGTATCTCCCACGCTGACCTCTTCGGGGCTCCGCATGAATCAGCTTTAAAGGTCAGAAAGTGTCCGCACAGCCAAGTGCTTAAGTTAAGAATAGGATGAACGGAATGGTAAATGGTTCTCGATCACAAAACTAACTGCGGGTCTGCCCGTGGCCCCCAGACAAACTGCTTAGGTGCGTGGGCAGAGCCATACGGCACCTTAGATAATCAGGTGGTCATCGGTTGCGATGTCATTTTCTCTTTAGATGAGTTTGAAAGTCATGAACAGGACATCACTCAATAACTGTCCCAGGCTGGTTATTCCTGAATGACTGTGTTGGGAAATATTTTGATTTATTAATTAAAAACACGTTAAGGGCTTCATTTAATGGCCATCAGACAAAGTGGAATTGATATTAATGTAATTTATGAAACAAGTATAGCATTTTAATTATTTGTCCATAAATTCTGAAATTCTGAAACTTTTATCAATACCACACCAAGGTGGGTCTGGATTATTTATGTCAAAAGTACAGTAACTGGTTTGGTAGAAAAACTGTCAAAATCTGGGGTCCCAAATCCTCCTAGCTGTTTATGATCCTGTTGGGTACATATTTTCTGACACTTAAGGGTATTTGCAAATAAATGTGAGATGTATTACTACAAATGAGGAACAATCCAGAGACATTAATATTAGTCAATTTGTATGTAATTTCTGCATCCAAAATTCATTTGAAATTTTACAAAACTCAAAATGACAAAGTAGATACGTGATGAGTCATTTTATTTGATAAAAATTAATTTGGTTTTGAAACATATTCAATCACACAAGATATCAAAAAATAAGTTTATAAATGAATTTAAAGTGCAAAATATGATTTTTAAATGAATACTTCTCTTAAAAATGTAAGAGAAAAAAACAAAACCATATTTTGTAAGTATTCCTCCAAAGCAACTGATAAGGCTACAGAAATTTAAATGTTTTGGTCCATTTGGGTAAACAAACAAAAAATCCTCTTATATAAACTGTAATTGTATCTCCAGAATCAACAGAACTTACTCTTGCTTGTTTGAGTTAACTCACATCAGTAATAAAATACATTAGCTTTAAGATCTAGAATTATGTACTGAATAACTTCGACATGACATCACAAAAAAGGAATTTTCTCACCTTTTTTTTTTTTTACACCTCACCACACAGACACACAGTGGAATAAAGACAAACCCACATGAACCACCCCAAGTGGTTAGTAAATGAAAATCAGACACATTCATCCAGCAAAACACATGCAAAGTAACAAGCGGGACTCTAGTTTGACAGCATAGCAAGTCAGCCGATAATCTGCCATTGTCCATAGCTAGTGAAAGAACTACTGAACAAGTTACCGAATTGGCAATTCACACCTCAGGGTGACGAGAAAAAGTCACAAATAAAACTTACCAAGATGCAAATGAATCAAGATCACATATCAAATAAATGGCTATTTTTTTCATTCTATAATAAATAATAGCAGATGCTCAGTTTGCTGACACTAATATGCGACGTCCATTTGTGCAACGTCTGCCTTTTGTCAGGCAGATTCAATTCTACAGGAAGGACATTCCATTGACCCGGACAAGAGCATTCCGGAGAGGATCCATGCGGCCTTCGCACTGCTCTACCCTGCCAGCTTAGCTGGCGATGTCCGCGTTGTTGCTGCGGCTGCCATACTTGTGGTGAATGATGAGAAGCACCACACCCAGGAAGAAGCAGACCGAGCCCACGGTGATGTAGGCGATGCCCAGGAAGGGATTCTTGCCCCCCATCCAGGAAATCGTGCTCAAGATCATACGCTTGCGGCCCTCGAAGCTACGGACGGGGTAATCTGACGACGGCGATGCTTAGGAGAACGACAGAATTGCATGAAACGAGATCATTTGGAATTTCTAGGAGTTTGGAATTTTTCCCAAATCCAGAAATCTACATTGAACAACTTTAGAGAAGACCGTGTAACAACCTACAAATGTTAAATATCTAATTTGCCATATCACTTAATGGGCCCTTGTCAACACCAAGTTACTGAATTGCAACGTATTTACAGAGCAGTTGCTGACCTATGAACTACAGAAACCAGCAGTTAATGTTGCTATATTTACTGTCTACTAAGCCTTTTTACTTTTATTCCTGATACTGTTTATTAAGCAGATTGTTAAAAACCCAGTGGCAAACTTTTGCTGGTGGCACTTAGCACTCAAGTGCAGTGAAATACATTGATATAAATAGCCCTTTATACATTACCCTGCAGTGCTTTAAGACTCTGCAAAACAGAACCTATCATTTTTCTCCTATTGAAGAGACTTTAGCTTCTCACTTAAAGGATACTGTATGTGATCAATAGGGTGTAATTGCCCCGAGGCAGAGTAGGGGTGGCATCCCCCTGTTTCTCAATGATGCGGTACAGCTTGCGGAAGGTGGGCAGAGCCGCCGTGCGCATCCACACAATCAAATCCTCGTTGATGAAGCCGTTGTTATCGGGGTCAGTATCCAGCTGATAGACGTACTTCTGCCAGTTGACAGGCTTTGTGGTACCTGCAGGGAAAGCTCAAGGTCAAGCCACAAGGGCAAGAATCAAAGCGATGGAAATTACAAGGACGTTCACTCGCCCTTGCGTCTGTTTGACGGAGTAGGAAAAGTAGGACCTTGAAAAACAGCAGAGAGATTGGAACCGTCTCCCACCGGGTTTCTGAATTTCACATGCTTGTCTGTCCACCAAGCGATGCCCGTCTTAACCAATCGAATCGGTATCTTCGTTCCATTAGGGTCATTGTAATACAACTCCAACGTATCTGCAACATTAGGGGAAAGAAGTTCTGCATCAGCTCCGGAACACAGGATACATTGATAGCACCGGTGATCCTATTTAAATATATCTGACCATTAAACAGGCTGTTGGCAATGGCCCCGCAGGGGGCTATCGGCAGGCCGTCATTCGTGCGGTACGGTTCACATTCCTTGCTAGGATCCTGTAAAAATTAAAGTTGACAAATTTTAGTAACGGGGACAAACAACACATCTTCTACAAAACTTTATGGGGTGCAAAAAATATTTTCCAAAACATGAAGCACATCTGCCAAGATTCTGAGAAGTTTTGCAGACAGTTTAAAGGTAAAACAGGCCCACATCCTGAATCAAAGTTATTCTAAGAGAGTTGCGGCTGTCTTGGCCATCGGCTCCAGTGCCCGGCACACACCTTCAGGGAATTCAAGTTGCCATTCAGCTGGCTGTCATCTCTCGACTTCACGTAGCGGCGGTGGTTCTGATAGTAGTTGGACAGTCCGTAGTACATGAACACATTGCTCTGGGGAGAGAGCCAACAAGGTGCACACTGAAAATCCATTTTCAAAGCATAAACAACGCATTGGGCCGACAATAAGATAACACCCCCCCCCTCTCTTTTTGGCAAGTATTTTTTGAAAAATAGTTTTTGGAATACGAAATCTTACCTTTATTAAAAAATAATTTTATCTGAGAAGATCATATAATAAATTAACCAGGAACCACAGTTTAAAAAGCAACCACAGGCAATCGGATTACAGCAAGTGTACTAAACAGCAAACATCCCAAAAAACAAATGTATTTGGCCTGGGGTAGATAATTTAACTTAAACTTAAAGTCCACAACCCTTGAAGGCGCAGAATGTTTCCGGTTCAGCAGACCCACATGAAGAGGGTAAAAGACGTATTTATACTTACATATTAATAAGTGATATGACAGCTCATTTAAAATGAACTTTACTATCTTTATTTACAGCCACTATCAGGGGTGATAACATTTTTGAAATGCAGATTTTTAAAAAAACTTTTCCCAGACAGCATTTATTTTAAAAATCAGTTTAATACTAGCAGCGGCACAGACAGGCAAGGCAACGATTTACACGTACTCAGGGATACACGCTAAACACACGCCACGACACTCAGGGATACACGCTAAACACACGCATTACCAGGGCTGCCATATCTCACGCTTTTTGTCTCCCGCACTTATGCAAGACATCTTACAGTAAATCTATATAACGGTAAGTCAAAACACCCGTTACAAAGTAACAGATCTGGCGTCATCTATCCCCTTTTGTGTCTAGACCCCGAATATAAGATGACACCACTTAAAATCTTATATTCGGGTCAACAGGGTAAGCAAGAAACACTGATGCAAAGAAATATCAAATATACACATTTAGATTTTAAGTTACCAAATTCAAGGAAAATACTACGATGGAACAGAAGCTATTCAGAGTTGGGGAAGCATTTTAAGGACAGACAAAATTAACGGCACACATTTACGACAAACAAAAGAATCTCTAATCTAATCCCAACCTGTACTATAAAACTCCACACCATTTATATAAACAGCTGCCTTAGCAATCTACTTTCAGACGTACAACTCATCAGGGCTCAGTATAATTTGCTTCTATATTCTGAAACCCCAAAACCGACAGAACATCCCAGTGCTAATCTTTCAGGAAATGGAGAATTTCAAAACACCAATGTCACACTGTTCTTTATTACAAACACATATTCCATAGCTGTATAAACTTTTTTTTTTATTTAATTTCCCCTTGTAGAAATGGACACCTGACAACTGCATTATTCTGTTAACTGGTTCATTTCTTGTTGCCCCAATTAAAACAACACTTGTTTAAAAAATAAAAATAAAATAAAAAAAAAGATAATTCAAGATATCAGCGTAACCATCTCCCTGCTGTGAGTTTACCTCAAAGGGCTGATCCAGAGAGAAGGCCACTGAACATGTGCAGGGCTTTGTAGAGTTCCAGCTGTAGTTCTGAGAGCAGTTGAAACATGGGCTTGACATGTCAACACCGGTATAATCAATCTGTAAAAGTGTCAAACAGAGGGAGAGGTTTCAGAAACATTAGGGGCTACAACCAGGGGCACTGCTAATGCTTTTAAGCAGCCTCCGAGGATCTAAAAGGAAATACAAATATCTTAACAAATTTGTCATTTGAATAGAAAAGCAGTCGCACGGCATGACGTGCATTCACCGCCCTGTGAACACAGAAATTAAGAATAGCAGGAATGTTTTTGCCGCGGGAGAGAAGCCCAGTTTCCTGAAATTAAACCCAGTCAACAATAAGACACACCACTCCAGACCGCATTAAAATAAGACAAGACAGAATGTCCGTGTCCGGTACCACAAAAAACGTAAATAGAACCGACGAGTAGCCATGAATACAACAAGATAATATAAGTAAACACAGACAATTAGCATTGCATATATCCCTTGAGCAATCAACAGGTGATGATTCATTTTAATCTACGGAACTAAACATCTTTATATAACCAAGTATCAGTCATATAAATGAAATACTACAAAAAGACGGAGCAGGAAGTGGAAGATGTGCGGGTTACCGACCTCGTACTCCTTGATGTTGTTCGACGTTACATAGAGGCCAATGCCGATGGGGATGAAGAGGAGCCCGATGATGAAGAACGCAGGCAGCACCGTCCCCGCGGTCAGGATCGGCTGCCAGGCAGGCAGCCGCTGCTGCTTGAACGCCGTGTTGTCTGGCTTCCTACTTTTAGCGTTAACGCCGCCGGGTCCCGGGGCTCCGGAATGGTGCCCGTCTTCCTCTTTCGCGGAGTAGCTAGACGCCATCATGGCTACAACCACAGCACAGCTGCCCGACTTGCGCTTTAGCTAAACGGCTAACTTTCACAAAACAACCTTAAACTGTCACAGAAGTGCCCGGCACTACGGCGACTCCGCTATACCGCGTAATACGCAGGAATACAGGTTATATCGTTCACTTTGTTCTGATAAATTGTTTTTTAAAGTGCCAGGTCGTTAACAATAGAACAATAAAATAGAACTAGATTCCGGGTCCCAGCTTGCTACCGCCATACTCACCTAATGAACGGCTCAACTTAGCTTAGCTATCCTGCAAGCCGACAAACGTGACGTGTGTAATGACGTCAATACGCCGGGGCGACGTGAAGGCGGAAATTTACATGTTACTCCTACTGTTAGCAACAACAGCGATAAAATTATAAACAATATTTCCATATTATCCATCATCATCATTAAAATAGAGAGCTGCAACAGGAAAATTCAGTAAAATTTATATTTGTTACTGCAACCAAGAAATATAAGGAACGAATAGTTTATACATTTTATACGGTACAACAAATACAATTGATTGGTTTTGAAATCCTTTAAAATTGGCAATATCAGAAAACATATCTTTGTATAAATATCCCAGTCAAAACCACAGATTTTTAACGGGACTATAACCAAGCTAAAGGATATCAGGAAATGTGGCTATTTGGCTTGATGTTCACCTGCCTGGATGAGAGACATTCAAAATGACCTATGCTATAACCTGCACAAAACCTACAGTGAGAAATAACATAATGCCGATACTGGCAAATGATACACTTTCTACCAACTGAATTACAATTTTCAGGCACAAAACAAATATTTGCCGGTACCATGGTTCAATGGTCTTTCACAAAAGTTATGATATTTATAGTGAAAACCTTATATATAGTATGTATTTCAAATGTAGTTGGCAGTTTTTTGATGGTTTTTTTTTTTGGTAAAGAGAGTATTGTTTTATTCAGTGCATGTTACACTTTTCTTTGGGATTGTGCTTCTCCCTACTAAACTCTATTAACTTGAATATTTGACAGTAGCACAGATGTTGTCCTTCCCTCTGAGTTTAGCTGAGCACAGTGCTGCGAATGTGCCCTTCATGTCTCCCTTCTCTCTCATGCTGCCAGATTTCGGTACATTTCCAAGACTCCCCCGCCATGCCAGAAAGCCCAGAGTCAGTGAGAGCAGAAGCTGGCCCCTCTGGCATCAGAGTGCTGACTCTCTGGCGTCGCCTGAAGACCATGGATCTGGATCCACTGCCTTTTCGTCTGAAAGCAGATGTGCAGCGATGGGTGACAGCTTCATCTTGGTGGAACTTTCACATGGTGCACAATATTTTCTAGAAGATAAAAACAGATTTAAAGATGAAATGCTATGGTAATATGTACAAAGCATTGTTATAAAATATTCTATAACATCAATGAATATGATTGTGTGCAGTGTGAATGGAAAGACATGTGACCTATGTCTTTCCCTGCACACTGCACTAATGCAGTTGACAAAAAGTTTGTGAATGTTACCCTGGATCACTGTTTCAATTAACTCCAGTTTCTTCATTCACATTCTACTCAGACAATCTAGTGCTTTGGAGCCCCAAAAAACATGATATAATTGTGCAAAAATGAACTTCAACATTCTATCTCATAAAATATTCACTAGGATATTATTAAAAGATCCCTGCATTTATCTGTTCATCATCATGGCCGCTTATCCAGTACAGCGTCGCACTGAGCTCATACCCTGTCATCATACCCTGACATAAAAGTATAAATGAGAACATGATGTTCGTCCAGTTTTTGACAGCATTGCTGACACTGTAGACATTTAGGGCCTGTTTACACTTGGTTTTAAAATGCGTCTTGGGAGATCAGATCACAAGTAGGCAGCTGAAAGCCATTGCCGTTTACATCTGTGTTTACCAAGCATCTCCCTGTTGTGTAGCTGACCACTTGTTTTTAGATTTCATTAGTGCTGTCCATTTGCGATCCAGTCACCAAAGACACCGAGTCTGAACAGAGCCTCGTATTTCACAGGTCACAATTATTTACTGCATGTTTTAATGTTTATTGCTCACTTTCCATTTATTGTTGTTCATTGTTTTGGTTACTTCCTATGTTTCCTTCTAAAACAGTATTCTATTTGCTGCTAGGATGATTTTGGGGAGCTATGGAATGAAGAGCAGAATTGTGCGAAAATTGCACGGGCTGGACTGGTGAAACATGGATTTACATAAGAACATGAGAAATTTACAAATGAGAGATTTATATAGTCTGACAGCATGGAGAGAAAATGATTGCTACCGTATCAGAGCATATTATGCAACAACCTCCACTGGCCAGTGTAGCCGTATATTGTTACAGTGGGAACTTTTACTGTATTTCCATGATTTGCAAATGTGACCCGCTGACAGAAAAGTATTCTTCCAAATTCAGTTTTAATACATTTTTTAAAACTCTGTAAATCACTTGAGACAGAATAACAGATGCAATAGGTTTAAACTCATTTTTGGAATCCGCCATTGTCAAACCTATGCAGTTTCATTTCATCTAATTGTTTTACTTCGCCTAAAACTCAGAACATTGGCATTATATTCATCTCCTACATATATACAGTCTTATTGTTTTCATTAAATTGCTCCTTTATTTTCAGAATGAAAAGATGAGAAAGGAGTTTTCAGATGACATCTCTCGTAATCACACAAAATATAATTAATTTGTATAATTCTTAATAATGGCCACATTTGAATACTGAAATATGAGATAATTAGGCAGGAATAACCTTGGAATATCACTTTTTCACAGTTTTTTGATATGATGAAAATATACGTTTATTATAATTTAATTGCCTTTTAGCAAATGCCTTTAACCAAGCACATATGCATGCAAGCATGGATTTGTAAGGGTGCTGTTCCAGTTTACAACTAATCATTTGTAATTATCAAATATTCAGTATCAAATATTAAGGCACAGTAAATTGCCCTATCCATGTTAGGTATATTGAACAAGCTTTCAGGCAGCTTAATTGTAAATCTTTTATTTACATATGTGTTTAACCATTTAACAAAAAAGTATATCCTACTATAATTTCAGCCATTAATTAAAAATATATGCACTGGATTTTTTCCAGATCTGGAAGTTCCACTCTAGACCATATTATTCTTCTTACTAAATAAGCCCTGTTAGAAGTGTTGCCCCATCATTAAGAGGAGCTAGTGACATTGTACTGATGAATATGATGACTGCAGTTTCTTTGCAGGGCTGGTACATGCAATCATTGTACTTAACTGGGAGCCTGCATGATGAAATCCTTATATCACTAACATGAAGTCATGGGGAAGACATCACACACACAAAGCATGAGTAAGTCATGAGTAAATATAACTGTGAGCCTACCCCCAGCACAGGTGAGGGTTAATAACAGCACAGGCTTGCCAGGGGCACAGGTAGAAGATGCTCACACAGATACAGGCATGCTGGAAGATATAATTAACGTCAGATGACACAAAACAGCAAAGATACCCGTGAAACATGTTATAGATTATTTCCGTGCTTGAAAGTCAGTTTGCAGCTTAGGGGCTCTGGTGTTTGGGTTCAGTAAGTTATACTGAGTTCACAGGCTGCTCAGTTGCTGGGTGCAGGATGGACCATGTTTTTAGCCCGCTCTGCCATGCAGGCCAACGGCGACTCTGTCATGCTCAGTGAAAGCCGTCTCCATGGCAATGCCCCCCGAGGCTCTCAGCCCGTCCCGCCCCCCTGCACTGGCAGAGGTGCCCCCCGCCGGCGTCTTCGGTCCAGCCTGAGACTCTAGCTTTGTCGCCGTGGAGACAGCCGGCATGCCCGGAAGCGCTCTGCCTGGGGTCATACCTTTTGAAACAGGGATGCGTGTGGATGTGGATCGAGGTGACTGCACGTCCTGCCTGTGCTGATCGGGGGGAAGAGGGGGGTGTAGTGGGGGGGGGGCATTCAAGGAGGAGGTGAGGAGGAGAGACAGACAGAGGCACGACAGAGTTTAAGGACGTGCTTCAAACAAAGCACTTCCAGCCAGTGAAGACCTGATGTTTAGCGGATGACCGGCACTTGGGCACATTCCTGTTATGTCATTTATAAGTGAATGTACATAGATACATATGCCTGCCCGTTACAGTAGCACCTTTCAGCTAATTTTCAGTATTATAGACCATGAGGACTCAGCACTGGATCAGTGGGACACAGTGTGTGCAGGTTTCTGTCCTCCCTAAGAAGGTAAATTATTGATTATTATGCTGACGGAACCAATCGAGCCGCCTGCTCAGTGCCGAGACAGGCTGCGCTTCACAATCAGCTGGAGAACCTGCACACACTGCAGACTGTCAGGCTGTCAGGTTAAATCTCACTGCATATAAACACGATTTCTATTATTACCTTACACGCAGTGCCGGTGTTACTATGGTTTTGCTTTTTCATATTACTTTCAATTTTCAATTCAAAATCCAGTTTAGTTTTAGTTAGTTTTCACTGTGTTTTTATTAGTTTTTATTAGTGTCAATTGCAAAGATATATTTCTGTTCAGTTTTTGTATATTTTAGTTTCAATTTAAGTTTTACTAATTTTATTGCTGTGGATAGACTTAAATTTGTAGAGCTCTTTGCTGTATCTGATCTTCAGAGAATCCTACATGAATGCACAGTGCACACGATGTACTGATGTCCTCTAAATGGACAAAATGTGTTCCTGGAGCCATTAATGGTTTACAAGGAGCATGGTGGTGTGCAGGTTAGCGATTCTTCACTCAGACACCCAGACGGTTCCAGAACTGTCCTCTCCAATACGAGTTAAAGGAACATGTCATTCGGTGTCAGTTACAATCACAGGTGCGTCAGGATACCTACATAAGAGGCCTGTCTCTCTGGATGTATAAGTGCAGAAGGTCATTCCAGTGTTAGTGCACTTCATACAGTAGAGTAGGAAATGTATTAACTTGTCTATACCTGGACTGTGAGCTACCTACGGAGCAGTCAGCACCTGATATCGTTTTGAAACATTTCAGTAGCAACTGAAATATAGAAGATTTGAATCATTATTTTTTTCTTCAATGAAACACTTCCCAACATTTATAAATAACCATTTTAATATGATTATGGCTACCTCTTACATTTTTATACAGTATTTGTGATGTTTGGTCAACTTTGGATAACTGTCCATGTTCAATAATGTTAGCTTTAATATCTGATGGTGTCAAATTGAGTTAATTTTATCGAAAATGAATCTCACAGCCTTTTTATGATTAAACAATGTTTGGTTCTGTCTTTTACAAGGAGTGATACTTTATGGTGTCTATGGCCCATCTGAAGGTGGTGGACACTCACCACAGACTGCGTGGGCCGTGAGGGGGCAGAGGCGATGGGGTTGATGATGATGCTGCTCATGATCTTGCCGGGGGAGCTCTTTGCAGCCACTGGGGCGCTGTGACTTGGAGATGGCCGAACTGTACCCGTGACGACCTCTTTGGTCACTGTCGCCACGGTGATGGAGGGTCCACTGGCCTCCGTCAGCCGCTTGAATTGGGGTGCCAGGTGGATGTGGATTTTGTTGTCCTCCGTGGTGATGATGTTGCCATTGGAGCCGTACTTTCGGGTGGGTGTGGCTCCGCCCTGCCTATCGGGGTCCATCTTCAGCACCTTGCGGCCTGTGAAGGGCTCCTGAGTCTCTGGCGAGCTAGTGGAGTCAGAAATGGGGGAGGTGCTGACAGTTATGATGGAGACTGGGGACAGAGGTGACTTAACCTCATCAGATGAAGTCGGCTGGCCCCTCTCTGGCGATTTGGCCCTGGAAATAGCGGTGATCGTGACGGGCGACTTGTTCCGCTCTGCATCCTGTCCCCCTGCAGCCTCACGGCCATTGTTTCTGGATGATACTTTGGTGGGTGTTGGGACAATGGTGATCCGTGGCATCTGTAGGCCCAGGGTGGGGATTATGGTTGTGCTGGAAAAGAAGTCCTCTGCACGGGGACTGGTGATCTCCAGCGTCGCGCTGCTGTTTCCATGGTCCGGCGTTACCTTGATGTGCAGAGGTCGCCCTGGCATCTGGGACATGGTCATCTCGGGCGGTTGCGTTGACTCCTCGTTATTGTGATTTGTTTTGTCCTGTCTGCCTCGGCTAATGGTGTCCTTCTTTCTCATCCAGGGTGTCCATGATTTGCTCATGTTCATCTCACTGGCTGCGGGGGGGTACCGCTCCAGAACGGGCTTCTTCAGGACTTTCTGCCGAAGGTTGCTCATGATGTGGTTCTCCTCGAGGACAGATTTCCTGATGAACACAGCTGCTGTGTCCTCCTCCGCTGCCTCGCTGGTGCCTGCATCGGTCTGAACCCCTGTGGAAGCTAAAGGCACATCTACGATCCGCCTGCCGTTGACGCTGGGCCGCAGGGCACGGCTGTACCGCTTGGTCACCTCCAGTTCCTTGGTGAGGTTGAGAACCTCCTGGTTCATGATTTTCTTTTTGTTTTCCTCTTCGATGAACCTCTGCTGTAGAACAGAGTATTCTACCTGAAGCTGAGTCAGTTGGTCCTCTTTGTTCATGAGCTCATGAATCTTCTCCTTGAGAGCTTGGACATCGGCCTGAAGGTCCCTTGTTTTAGCTTCTTCGATCTTGCATCGCTGTCTCAGCTCTGCTTCCTGACTCACAGCCTCTCCCTTCTCAATGGCTTTGTTTCTGGCAATCTGAGTCTTCATTTCCTCCAGCAATTGAGAGAGCACATTTGTCTTGTCTTGTTCCGTCCTGAACTTCTTCTCTAGCAAGTCATACTCATCCTCGGTCTTCATCAGATCCCCTTCCACAACCTCAAGCTGCTGCAAACGATTTTTTAGCCGTTCGATCTCCATTGTGAGCTCTTTAACTTTATTATCTTCACTTCCAAGTCTTCCAAGCTCTATCTTCATCCTGCCTCTAGCAGATTCCCCATCGGCTTCCTCTAAGCTGTCCAGCCTCTTCCTCATTCGATTAGCCTCCGAGCTCAGATTATTGCACGTCTCCTCTTCACATGCTAGTTTGCACTTTAGTTCCTCATTCTCCTTTGTGAGGTCTGTCACCTTAGCTTCCATTTCTGATTTTAATTTGAGAAGCTTTTTGCTCTCCTCAATCAGCTTCTCTGTAACCTCAGTGACCTTAGCTTGCTCCGCTTTAAAGTTCTTATTCAAATCCTCATTCTTCTTTTCCATGTGTTTAATTCTTTCTGCCATATTCTTTCTTTCATCTACCAGTATCACAGTGAAAGACTTCAGCTTCTTTAGGTCATCCTTTAGACTATTTTCGGCCTTTTCAAGTCGCGATTCTGAAGACTCGAGATCCTTGACTCTGCTTTTCATCGTCTCCATTTCTTTAGTCATTTCTTTTGTCAGACTTTTCTCTTTTTCCAACGTGATGTGCAGCCGCTCACATTCCGATCTGTTCCGATTAAAAACCCCCTCCAGCTTTTCCATCTCAGCCATTCTCTTCTGCAGTTTCTCCACTTCTTGCTTTAGATCCCTGCTGCTGTTCTCCTCATCCTGCAGTCTCCTCTGTAGCTCTCTGCACCGAGATTCTGTCTTCATGATCTCTTCATCTTTGCCTTCCATCTCCAGGACCATCTTGCGCAGGTTCTCCAGTTCGGCCATCAGGCTTGAGTTGCCACATTCCCCCCTGCTGATCTTGTCCCTCAGCTCCTGCAGCTCCTCCTCAGACTTCTGCAGAATCTTGTTGCTCTCTTCAAGCTCTTCGAGACGTCGACTAAGGCTAGCCAGCTTCTGTTGTAGCTGTCGGTTTTGGGTCTCCTGGACGGCCAGCTTGGCAATCATCTCTTCATGGTCTTGCACAAACTTAGTTGCCTTGTGCTCCAGCTCCAACTCAAGCTTAAGAATCCTTTGACTGTCTTCTTTGCTCTTTCTGCTAATGGTTTCCACCCTCTGCTCTTTGTCACGGAGCTTCTTGTTGAGATCCTGGATTTTCTGGGCCTGCTGACCAATCTGCTCGACGTGTAATTGCCTCTCATCCACCAGCATTAGGGAAAAGGACTTCAGTTTGGCCAGTTCCTCTCTCACCTTCTCCAGTCGCTGTTTGTGATCCTTGTCTTTACGTGCCTGACATGCCTTTTCTTGTTCCAGAAGCCTCTTTAATCTAAAAAAGAAACAAAAACATACTTAGAGACATCATTTGGATCATTGCTTTATTCTCTGATTAAATGCTAATCATGGTGCAAATGCAACAGTAGACCAATATAGGAAATATAATCGAATGAGGGCTCAGGATTGTATCACCACTATGCACGTACAGCCAATGCTCCATACGCCTTTGAAACACGACAAAAAACAATCAGACATACGGCGCCTGCATCTCCGGTCTGTGCCTTCAGTGCCTTTCAAACACTTGTACCGAAGCTCACCTCATATTTAGATGAGCATTTTCACATCCACATCTGTATGTAGGCAGAAAATGACATTTCATTATTTCACTATTTGCTTTTACAGCAGAGATTTTGTTCATTATTAAATGGATCTGTCTAGAATATCTGAGTCCAAAGCATTACAAGATGTTAACCAATCATTCAGCCAAAAATTCAGAAGTGAAATTGTGAAAATTGTGCCACTGGAGATTAGACCTTTAAAGTTCCCTGTCTACCGTTTGCACGCAGCTTGTCCCATAATCGGCAGAATCGGCGTTATGGTGTGCTGGATGCGGTGCGGGGAAAGAGGATAAATTAAAAAGGCATGACGGGAATGAACAAAGGAATTCTCCAGATTAGAGAGAGAGACCCCATGTGACTCTCAGAGAGCGGCCGACGTGCCTCTCGCACATGCACTAGCACAGAGCTGTAAGAGATGAGACACGCTGCAGTGAAAATCACAAGCTCTCTTCTGCTGTTCCAAAACATTCTATTTGAATCATGACCCAAAATGATCTTTTGTCAATGTGTGGGGTTTCCTGCAAACCATTTCCATTCTCTTCACACAGGATGTGTGTGTCACTGCCTGCAACAAGTCCCTGAAACCAGAGAACAAGTAACTGAAACTGGACCATGAACATGAGGCATCCTTGCTCACTTTTGCGGATGCCTGCCTCACAGAGTCCTTTTTAATAATCCCTCACCAGTAAACTTCCTTGTGCCGATAGGGGCACCCATTTGCATTCTGAAACGGCACATAAACAAGTTAATCATTTTTCAAACTTACCCTCTAGCCAGGTTGCTCTGCACATCATCTTTCCGTAGCTAATGTGCTTTAAGTTCTGCTACAGCGGTGCCTCCAGAACTTCTGCTTCTCCACGGGGAATAAGCCATCACATTCCAGCCATGTCATCAGAACAATGAAAGGTGAATGTTGTGTAAAATAGCAATGGACCACGGACTGATGATGTCATCGCGCCCATATATGGCTCGGAATTGTGCTGTTCTAGTTTGGACACTGAGGAGGAGGGATTTAAACTAAGAGGAAGGCATTTATTGCTCTTTACTCTTTTTTCCTCTTTTTTTGCAGCTGGCAAAAGGGGATCCTGTTTAGTGAACAGAAACAAATGAATGTTGCACATAAATGTGCAAATATCTGGGTAATAATGGCTTCCCCTTCTACTAAAACTGTTATCCGTGACCTAGAACAGTTTGGTCACCCAGCGTGTTACCACAGCGATGTGTGCGTAAAGCTGGGATCTGAAAAAGGCAACGCATCCAACACACTCTATTTCATCACTCCAGAATCACGATAACACCTCCTGATCTTGGGGAAGGGGGGAGCCTGTTCATTCATGTGTGTTACTTAATCTTCTTTAATGTGCTGATTGCTGTGCAGTATGTCAGAGCGTGTGAGGGGAATACAGCAACAGCGCCCGTCTGTCAAGGCTGAGTAATGAGAACAAGTCAATGTTATAAATCTTGTTACTCTGTGTTTCTGTTGGTTCTATTGTTGTAAATCTTACATAAACAAACCACTGACTTCTGTCTGGTCACATTATTTATTTATTCTTTATTTAATCAGCATTTTACTTTTATTCAGCCCTTTCTCTTCTCAATTTAATTATCAGTTTGAAAAAAAATTTTTTTTTTGCTTTGAAACATTACATCTGATAATATTTTATAATTGTATAATATTTTATAACATGATGATATTTTATATTATACCCCTGTCTATCTAACCAGCTTGACGGCCTTGATTGTTTTGCATGGCACCTGAAAGTAAATTCTGTATATGTTAAATTACTTTCAGATAAATAAACAATTCTGATTTCAAATGGTTGTCTCAAATGCCAACAACGAATTGGTTTACTGATAGATAAACAACAGTAAGGAAGGGCAGGTAGAGAGTGCTAGATGGACGGTCTGTAGAGAGGACATCTGGCAGATAGATACTTCATCAAACCTTTGAGCACAGCTAAAAGCACCGGAGTTTGCAGAGAACTGGGTTTATCTTGCATGCTACAATGAACCTTTTCTTTGTATGACACTCAGAAGGCACTTTTTTTTGTAAAGCTGCTCACAGAACTTTACACATCAAAGCTAAATAAATTTGTTTAATCCTCAGGTTAAGTTCTTCTTCCACATTACACTGAGGTGCAGAGTTAATCACTTTTAGGTACACATCCACCTTTATTTTGCAACTCTGGGCTGAGTCAAAATGTCCCAAATTTAAGGACATGCTGTAATAGTTTAGAATAATGGATGGATCCACTCTTCAGCTTGACAAAAATATTTGTTTGGCAATTTCTGTCCTTGTCCTGACAACCAGCAACACCAGTGCATTGTCCTTCGGTCCCACTGGGGTTTATAAATACACCATTAATCTGCATATTGAACGTCGCAGAAGCATTTTAACCCCTCTTAACATGAACTAAAAGCCGCGTAAACCTCTATGTAAATTAGATTTACATAAATCTGAACTGACATAAAAAATCCCCACCGTACACATCATTTACAGATAGCGCTTATGCAAGCACATTAAGCACAACCCAGCCGTCATCCTGGTTCTCGCATGACTTGTTCTGTAAACGCATCTATTCTAAATAGTATAGTGCATTATACAAATGAAAAGAATTAATTTAATCTTTTATTACAATATTTGATATATCTGACAGTTACTACAGAATTATACTAAATGTGTAATTTTAGTCCTTTGCTTGAGACGAATGCCTCTATTTAGTTACAGTCAGCTAAGATAGGTTACCCTGGGCAATGTTACACAGCTGCCAACTTTGTTTAGCTGGCTGGAATGAGATTTTAAATTCGAGACAAGTCTGCACACGCATTTACATGCATGTCTCAGTATTATTACCTTGTACAGTAAATAGTCTGTAGGGTTTGCAAAATGGCTCAACACTTTTGATGTAGCTAGTTTTAAGTTTATAATGGAACAACACAGATTTGCCGTAAGATTTCTAGCATGAGTCTGGGAGTCTGTATGCGTGAGCGTCACGTCGGATGCATTAGAGTTGGAGACCCTGCAGTCTGCCAGCCAGGCCCTAAGGCCTGATATATAAAGGGAACACAGGGGTGCAAGTTGAGAGTTGTGAGAGTTGGCAACCCTGATGTTAGGTTATGCTGGGCTAGGTTAGGCTATGCTAAGCTAGGTTAGGCTATGCTAGGCTAGGTTAGGCTATGTTAGGTTAGGCTATGCTAGGCTAGGTTAGGCTATGCTAGTTTAAGTTAGGCTATATCAAATGGGGGGGGGGATCTGACATGCGACTTTTGACTTACGTAAAGGGTTGAAAAACGGTCTATGTGCGTAAGCTGAGGATTGCCTGTACTGTGTTACTCTGAAGCATCAGGCGGCCTGATGAATACCCCTATAGTTACTAAAAAAGTCCAAGAAAGGCCACGGCCCATTAATAGTTTCGTGACAAACTGGATAGTAAAAAGCAGGATGTTTCTCTGGAACATGCCACCTGATATTTATGCCCCGGAATCCTCCATCTCCATCTCGTTAACACCTTCCGATGTGGTGCGCTAAAATAACGCTCACTTCATCGCATGGGGAATATCAGCCCCGAGACCTCGGCTGACCTTTGTGCGGTCAGGAGCCTCATTTGGTGCTCGGTCAGAGACAAAGGCAAGCGGGTAAATGGAGCAGGAAACCTCACGCATGTGACGATCCTGTGATAATATCCGTGTTGCTGGAATATTGTGCCGGTGATCAGTGGGGTTTCTGGGGCTGGTTATGGACATTACCTGCTGTGATAGTAACAGACACTAAGAGCAGACTAAGCAGCAGATTAGTGCTCATTACAGGTAACTATTCCAAGCAAGGATTTTTTGTTTTCTTTGGAGTTAAGCCAACCTGCAAAGTTTTTATTCCTGTATATGAATCTATCCCTACAACCCTGATGTCAGGCTTACCTACCGTGTTAGATTAACTGTTAATTATCTCACCCTGACTGCGCTGATGTCCTGCACCCCTGTGTTCCCTTTATATATCAGGCCTTAGGGCCTGGCTGACAGACTGCAGGGTCTCCAACTCTCACGCATCCAGCGTGACGCTCATGCTTTCAGACTCCCACATTCACTCAGAAATCTTACGGCAAATCTGTGTTGTTCCATTATAAACTTAAAATTAGCTACATCAAAAGCGTCGGGCAGTTTGCAAACCCTACAGACTATTTATAAGGTAATTAAACTGTTACATACGTGTAAATGCGTGTGCAGACTTGTCTCGAATTGAAAGTCTCACCCCAGCCAGCGGACCAAAGCTGACAGCCCTGAAACATGTATAGAAATGGGAAGACTGAAACATGTATAGAAATGGGAAGACTGAAACACGTATGGCTCTCAAATGGGATTAAGAGGAAAAGGACATACTCGCTGTGGCTTTTCAAATACATTGAGAGAAGATCCATCTTTGTAATTTGAACGACCTGATTCTCCATTTGTCCTAAACAAAACCAGGCGTACTCAAATCCTGATAAACAAAATTGATGGATTTTAGTGGTTTTCCCTTTCAAATTAATGCGTGATGTAACAGACTGGTGCATTTGGATTGGTCCAAAATCATGACTCTGAAAAGGGCTTCTCTAGGGTAATGCTAAGGTATCCCACATGACAGAGAATGGGGGGCAGTAGTGATTCTGGTGGTGTGGAAAGGTTAGGGTTAGGGTTAGGGTTAGGGCTGCGTGCAGGAAGAAGGACGCCTGTACAAAGTCTCGCTGGCATTGTCCGTGCTAGCCTGAGTGGCCTCTTTGGTCAGGTGATCAATGACATCAGCAGACAGGAAGCCAGGAGATGACCACAGAGGGCTGGAATGTGTTATTGCGTCTGGCTGAGAGACTGTGAGGCCCATTACTGGCTTTTTAGTCAGGTGGTCTAGGTGAGATAAGGAATTTTTCCTTTTTTCAGCGGAGAGTCCAGTTTATAGTAATATCAAAGTCTACATCAAATGTGGATTTAGTGGTTTTTGGCATACAAACAAAATATTCTTTATATTTGTCAATATTTTGCAAATGTTGAAGAGAGTGTATTGTTAAAAACCAGTGATAGATGGTTTTATGCTTGCATTTCTTGTTGAGTGCCATTGAATTCTTGTCCTTGTATGTCATGCTGGTGATATCACTGCAGTTTCAGGCCGACAGCCTGCTTATGCAGCGGTTAACGGACCATGGTGAGATTATGGGCTGTCATCAGCCCAGCACAGTTAGCAGAGTGTGAACGGGCAATGGGGCACCGAGGGGGGGGGTCACTTAGGCAGAACAGCATGCAGACGCATCTCCTAGGAGACCCTGGGGCTCTCAGATCCCTGGAAATGCTTCGCAGAGCCGCTGGGACGGAACCCCATCAAGGAATTTGCTGCAAACCCATACAGTAACTAATTAACTAAATACTTAGTTATGCTTAGAACTGAATGCATGAATTATTGCGTGGCAGCAATACTTTGAAAACATTTTCATGGCAGAATCTGATTCATCTATTAAACATTGAAGTCTTTTGGGACTTATAGCCAATAAACCCACCTCAAATGTCATAGAAAATGTTTTAATTAATGAAATTATGCCATTTTGCATTCAGGCACAGTGAAATGCTTTTTTTTTTTGCATAATATGCCATTTTGCTTATAGCTGAGAGCGCAGCCTGCGTCCGAGCGCATGGCCATTTATCCAGCCCCCCCAGAGAATTATGGGGGATTGAGGGCCCAACGGACATGTGACTATTCTGCTGAGGCCCAGATCTAAGCCAGTGATCTTTCAATCACAGGCATAGAGGCCTAATCCGCTGAGGCCTAACCCACAGAGGCCTAACCCGCAGAGGCCTAAGCCACAGAGGCCTAAGCCACTGAGGCCTAAGCCACAGAGGCCTAACCTGCAGAGGCCAAAGCCACAGAGGCCTAACCCACAGAGGCCTAACCCACTGAGGCCTAACCCACAGAGGCCTAAGCCACAGAGGCCTAATCCACAGAGGCCTAACCCGCAGAGGCCTAACCCACAGAGGCCTAAGCCACAGAGGCCTAATCCGCTGAGGCCTAACCCGAAGAGGCCTAACCCACAGAGGCCTAACCTGCTGAGCCACACTGCATCCACCCCCCCATGAAAGTTTTTTTTCAGCCACATTCCAAGGATGCACTACAAATAGATTCTTGTTTTCCTACAAAGCTTTGCTATAGATGAGGCCTGCAGGTGATTCATGCTCGTAAAGTGGAGCCACAGTGGCTCCCAGTTACCCCCATTCCACATGATTCTCCCACTGGATCACTGTACAGGACAGACAGGCTAGAGGCGCACCTCCAGGCAGGGCAGGTAGATGGCGCCGATAGGGATCGGCAGCTGGGCTGCGCTTATCAGACGGGATCGGATCATGTCACACTGGGCAGCCGAACAAACTCCGCCTACTGAGGAGGGTAACCCCGCCCACAGACCACTGTTTGCAGCACCAGCCACAGGGTGCAGGCGCTTCCCACCCTGCCACGCCCCGCCCCACCCCGCCTCGCCCTGCCTCGTCCCGCCTCACCTCTCCCTGTCCTGCTCCAGCAGGCCGGTAAAGTCGTCGCTCTTGTTCATGTAGTCCACATGCTTGCGCTTCTCCTTGTCCAGCTCGTGGATGGTGCGCCGGTGGCACTTCTCAGCGATCAGCAGCTGCTCCAGCATCCGCCGATACGTCTCACGGTGCTTCTCCTCCAGGTGATCCAGCTGCAAACAACAGCAATAAGATCCCTAAGGAATCTGCCGCTGGCTTCGGCTGTCTTTGGCCATATCGAGGCTCTTGGAGCTCAAGAAGCCAAGGAGGATGCATGGGGATCATCTGAACCCCTCAGATCAGAACCTCGATGTTTGCAGTTCAGCCAAAAGCCAGTAAATAGCCATTGGGTCACTTCAGGAAGGTCACCTACCTCTGCCATGGGCAGCTGGTACACGTCGTCGCTGATGGACTTGGTGAACAACCCGTCCCGCTGCAGGGCCTGCAGGACGCGGGATGGAGCCGCTGAGCCGTAGTGGGCTTCCAGGGCCTCGGGCCGCAGCCGCTCCGACTTCAGCATGTGAATGACGTCGTCCCGCGCCTGCAGAGAAAACCCGTCACGGATAACGGGCCTTAATGGCATGGAGTAGCCGGAGACAGATACAGGTTTTCAAGACCGTCATCAGCTTCTCGTGACTTGGCCAGAAGTAACCCCTGTTTGTGAGAAGCCTTAATGACATCCGTGAACTGAAAAAAAAAAACAATGTTTTTATGTAGATGGTGTGGGGGGGTTATACAACTGCAGTGGGATGGAATATAGGACCATGTGAAGGAAGGGTTAGGGACTTTATTTGGGGATGGGGGAGGGGCAAAAAAAAGCATGAAGGAAACAAACTGAGAGGAGGAGACAGGCGTCATGGTGTGGTTGGGCTCCAGCTGTCGGAGGATGAGAGGTGAGAGAAAACTATAAGCTTATGATTTTAAATGGAAAGAATGAATGTGCGCACTTGTCACCTGACTCTACACCGTCTTGGGACATGCAGCCCCCTTGCTGCAGAAGCATATCCGACAGAGAACAGAACAGGATGTCTCATATCGGAATCCACTGATGTTATTCCAACATGCACCAATAGGTGGAGCAAGATTTCCATTTTTTCTCATAAAGTCTATCAAGTCACACGCAGCCTTCAGCCAAATTATTTCTCATAAATGATTCTTCACTGATTTTGCTTCTCATATATGCTGCTGTCTAATAATGCAATACCAAACGTCATGAAGCAGAGTTGCAATTAATCTTATTTTGCAAAAATTGAGTTGAAAAGTAAGAGTGAACATGAGTGTAGGTTTGGAGGTGGGGGCCAAATCAGCCCCAGACCCCTCCACGCCCTAAACACATGCAGTACTGTGTCCCAAGCATTAGTACCCAAACCGTCTGTACCAAAACCGTCCGTACCCAAACCGTCCGTACCAAAACCGTCCGTACCCAAACCGTCCGTACCCAAACCGTCCGTACCAAAACCGTCTGTGCACACCGCACCACACTGTACAGTGGACGTGAAAGATAATAAATTTTTCCATTGCTCCTTCTACCACCCCCCAAAAAGGGTGGAAGACCCCTGGTCCAGATGCTCTCGTACCGTAAGCCTGGGAACCTTTAGCGACGCGCCCGCTAACGGCATTAGCATGCACCATGGGTGAACGGGCCAGCAGAAACATGGGCACGCTGCTAAGTGGACCAGCAGGGGTCGGGAGAAGAGGGGGCAACACACAGCTGCCCCATCACTCTCCAGGCGGCCATTAATAAAGGAAACTCCATCAGAAAATAATTATGGGGCCCCGGTACGAGCGACTTCCTGTCTCCACCCGGAGCCATTCGCCAGCAGCTCCTCAGGGACGCCATGATGAAGGGCTGCCGGCTAAACGAACCCTAAAGTGCCACAGCCAGCGAGCTGCAGTTTCAGCTGGTATTTGCACATGAAAGGTTCCCTACCTGCACCTCGCCCTCCATAACTCCCAGCAGCTTCAGCAGAGCCTCTTGGGGAAGCTCCTTCAGTCCTGGTTTTTGTGCCCCGGACTCTGAGCTTTTCTGTGGTCCTTTTGCCGTCCTGCCTGACAGGTTCTCCTCGTCTTTCTCCTGTCGGGGTTTCACTCTCCTTTTCTTGGAACACTGGACATTCTCGTCCACATCTTCTCGGGTGACATCGGGCAGCTGGGGGACGATCACTTGCCCACTAGTTGGGCTCTCCACAGCATTTTTCCTGGATCTCATCCTTACCTAGTAAAAGAAGCAGAAATCAGCATGTGAGCAATCCATCCCATAATAAACAACCGATATTCTCAACGAAAACAAGCATTCATGCAATACACAATTCCAGGGGTATTTCATGTACGATGACTTTAAAAACTTGGAAAGTGACCAAGGCTTGGTTATTAACCCATCTACAAGCATTATCATACCTAGTTTACTATGCACAAGTAACAAAATAAATGCAATGTGCAATTGTAGTAGCTTTCAGACAATGCTGCATTAAGAGCACTATGCCAGGATGCGCCAAGATGGCTACTCATCAGCATCCTATGGTTCTTGCCCAAAGCAGCCAGTAGCAAGTCAGGAGATGGAGATGCTCAACGCGCAACATCATTGTCTGAAGACTTTCAGCACCATGGACAGTGTTCCTAATGACCTGAGAGGACAACTTCGTAATTAATAGCGATGGAGAAGAATTCATGATGTTATTATCCACCAGAAATCCAATAATTCCTTCTCTTTCATGTTTTTTTCTTTTTTATTATCTTTCACGTTTTTTCTCGCCACACCAGTCTTACTGTGTCTATTACTGTACGGTTTTATTTTAAATTGTCATCATCAGTCTAGCAAACATACATACAGGCTGTCGGGGCCCAACTGTGTTTGAAACACACTGCGGCTTCATAGCTGCTGAAGGCTAAATCCCCCACCTGCGTAAACGGAGACTCGGGGAAACCTGAAAGTGCTTCTTCATTATTTCAGCAACAATGGAAAAGGCTGAAGGGATGCTGGTAATGCCGGCTGAGGTGTCTGGGTGAGGAGAGAGACGCAAGCGGGCGAAGCAGCTTCAGAACCACATCTCGCTCCAAAGAAATGCGAGGGAAAGGAAACTGTGAAGCGGATTCTCTGATTGCAGCTCTCTGCCTGAAAATCCATCCATCCATCCAACTATCCATCAATATATCCATTTTGTATAACTGCTTGTCCAGTGCAGGGTGGCTGGGATCTGGAGCCTGTCCCAGAAGCTGGGAAGGGAATGACCCAGGACAGGGCAACACTCACTGCAGAGCACACACACACACACACACACACACACCATTCCTGCACAGTCACACAATCTGACCTGCCAGAAAACAACAATGAAACAATGAAACCACAATGAAAAAAACACGGGCCGTTTGGGTCCAGGATCTACACTGAAATATCCACGATGGTGCAAACATACCTGCTGTTCATTCATTATCTGCCTCACTAGTGCTTTGGACAAAAGATTCTGCTAAATAATTAAGTACAAACAGATCATAGGATTATCATTCCTTCTGTGTGTTGTATGTAAGTGCTGTCTATAGACAAGAGGACCAGTCAGATGTAGTGATGCAGTACAGACAGAAGCTTTCCATGCTTTCGGGAGCCGTGTGAGAGGACACGGATAACAGGGTAGGCTTAGCTAAACCCTCACAGAGAGCACACGTGTCTCATATGCCACGTTGCTCTCCTTCAGCTGAGAACTCCAAAGGACACAGGCCCTCTGGCAAATGATCTAAACTTATAGAGTGTTCAGGTGCCGGACTGGGATTCACTGTTCAGTCGCAGGTCAAGTCCGCGAGGCTTCCGAGCTGTTCGTGAGACACCTGCCTCAGGCCGAAAGCTCGCTGCGGGACGTGTGTCTCACCCCGCGACACGGGACGGGACTACCGAAGGCCTCTGCGGGGCCCTGGAGTTCATGCCCCCACATCAACCCTTCATCTGGTGAAAGTTATCAGCTGTAACAGAGGATGTGTAACTGGATCCTCTGAAGCGACTGGCTGTGATTCGCCCGGGGGCCATACAGGGCAGTTTAACCAATCGGAGAGGCACTGAGATGGGCCGACAGACCTGATCACTGCCCATGACCTATGACAGTCCAGGTTCATTGTCAAATTTAAATAGGACTAAATAGAAAATAGAAGCTCGATAAGATTCCAGTCCTCCTAGCTGGCTAGCTGATCGCTATGCGTCTCCTAAATTAGCCTATTTTAATAAGTCTGACTGTGACTGACTGTGCCCTTTATACAGGGCTATATGAAATGGGGCAGATCCTTTGAAAGATGCCAAAGGACAGATGGTCTATGAATTACTGTCTGGACAAAACTTAGCAGCAATCGATATGCTACAATAAATTTTTGGATTTACAATACATACCACCTCACTTAAGGAAACTTAAAGCATGAAACTCATACAGAAGTTCCGAAATGCACAGAGACAGCCAGCATCCTTTGGCGTTCCTTCCCCACAGACTCTCTCGGGGATCATAGTAATTACCCGCTATGCTCTCTGCTGCCATATTTTACCTCAAGCTCACATCACAATGTTTCGAAATAGAGGAGGAGGTGTAGCGCTTAAATGTGTCAAAGGCGCATTGAAAATCTTAGAGGATTCCTGATGAATACGCTCATCTCCGCAACCCGACAGCAACAGGCGAGTGTTTGTGCAAACCGAACTCTCTTCAACTGCAGGGATCTGTCACACCTTGCATAACACCTGTTACGTTACATCATACAGCCTTTCACATTTGACTCGTATTGGCTGGTGGTCATAATAGTTTTTTATTCTGGTTTTATATCCACATGACTTTTTCTACTCCTGTAAAAAGAGTCTATAACCCAACCAGCAGGTGTACATCGCTCTAAAAGAGCCAGAAAAACAAAGTGCTTAAAAAATATATCTGATATCAAATGTGCTGCTTCTGCCCTGCCTGCAAAACACAGCGATGTTTAGCATGCGATATATCAGGCAGTATGTCCCCACGGCCACGTATCACACACGTGAGCATTAATTACATCTATGTATGAATTTATATCTAGGAATGTTCTGAGAATATGGCCTTAAGCCACTCAGCTCCCTGGTTCTCACCACCCCACAATCAGACCTGGCCTGCCCTCATTGACGGGGGCTGTAAGACCAGCACATTTACAGAGGCTCATTGGGATCCATCGTTTTGGACTAGTGGGGACCTGCAGGGTCATACCCAAGGGCTCTTTAAGAGCCAATGATCAGGGGCGTGGACTGGGGCGGGGCCAGAGGGGCACTGGCTCCCAGCTGAAAGCTGACTGGTATCCAGAATGCCCCCTCCATCGATTCCAAGCATGTCATTGGCTCACGATGAGGTTGACCCATCTTGTGCCCCCACCTCAAAAAAAATCTCAGAATCACCCCTGAACATGTGTACACTGCCTGGTATGTCACATGTAGCAATTTGACACCAATCAGGGATGTCGTTTGGATGGCATGCAGTGAGGATGAGAGCTCTGCTCGCTGTGGTCACATGATCTGCTTTTCTATTGCACCGCACACATGAACCATGAATCCTTTATTTGAATATAATCTCTAGCAGCTTTGCAAGCTAACTGGTAAGGAATTAGATTAGGCTTGAGGGACTTTATTGATCTCAGAATATATATGCAAGGTGCAAAGACAATATACATACAAACAAGTAAACACAGGGCAGACAAATTACACAGTACTCAAACACAATCCTGAAAAGCTGAGTAATATTGCGCATGAATATATAATTAAATAATAAATGGTGAAACGGTCAACCATACACCACAGGAACTGGTAGAGCCCTAGCATGTAACAAACAGGAGATACAGGTTTTTTATTTTTTTTAAATGACAGATTCCATTATATGATAGAGTTGACAGCAGGAATGGCGACGTGCATAAACACGAGCCGCCGGGATACCTACCGCGGCAGCGCGCACACGAGCCGCCGGGATACCTACCGCGGCAGCGCGCACAGGGGGATACCTACCGCGGCAGCGCGCACACGAGCCGCCGGGATACCTACCGCGGCAGCGCGCACACAAGCCGCCGGGATACCTACCGCGGCAGCGTGCATTTTAACAGGTACGAAGTTCTCAAGGTCCTGAACCGTAGTTTGTGACGGAGTGTGACTGTATGCCGAGAAAATGTTGGCAGCCAAATGGTAGCAACCAGTTTAGTTCTGAGGTTATAAATAGCGCTTTGAGGGGAGAAGCAAAGTCTCCTGTGGCCGGAGGATCTCGGCTCGCTTCATTTTAAATGTCACTTTGATTTTCACAGAGACTGAGAGCCGCTCATACAGACTCTGCCAACAGCAATATGGCCAAACAAGGCAGACAAAGGCAGCAAATACCCAAGCAAGGCTTGAGATTAGGACCATAGTGTATTACTGGCTACTGAAATCACTATTATGGCAAGACAGGTTCATTTGCATTGTGTGTGTCCTACCAAATCACACAATACCATCCACATGTTTCACGTTGCTGTTCCTTTGGATTAATGTCCGTTTCAATGAAGGATGGAAACTAATAAAAATAATGGAATCTGTAATAAGCCAATTGTGTCTTAACTGCGTTTTAGCACATTTTGCTAATTTTATCTTAATTTTTTTCTTGTTTATCATAAACCTACAATGTTAATCAAGAGAAATGAAAGGGTCATTGTTGCTATATGATGACCTAGTGAACTGGTTTGTATATACCAGGGGTCTCCAACTCCGGTCCTGGAGAGCTACTATCCAGTAGGTTTTCTGTCCTACTTGGCTTCTGATGAGCCACACCTGACCCTGGTATCTATCTGAGAACAGGTGTGGCTCATCAGAAGCCGGGTATGATAGAAAACCTACTGGACGGTAGCTCTCCAGGACCGGAGTTGGAGACCCCTGGTATATACGATGTTTCATAACAGATGGCACAACCAGATTAACTAATTTGATTTTAAGATCTAACCCAGTAAGAGGTTAGTTCTGTCCTGCGGCTGTAGTCTGGTGATTCTTTTAAGGCACCTAAGAAATTTGCTCATTCTCACACCAGCTGAAAGCCGCACACATGAATTTTGAAAAGTAGAGCTTAGTGTAGCATGTTAAACTTGATCCTCCACCAGAACATTTGCTGATATTATCATGAATTTGCCTCATTGTTTTTCCTGACTCCGACCATTCAGAAGAAACCTCTTAAAAGCCTGACAAGCTGGGCTCAGCTCTTCTTTGGCTAACAGCATCTTGAA